TTGAGTGTGTGAGTGTATGCGAGTGTATGAGTGTGTGACTGTGTGAGTGTATGTGAGTGTGTGTGTATGTTAGTGTGTATGTGAATGTGTGTGTGTGTATCTGAATGTGTGTGTGTGAGTATGAGAGTGTGTGTGTGTGAGTGTGTGTGTATGTGTGTATGTGAGTGTGTGTGTGAGTATGTGAGTATGAGAGAGTGTGTGTGAGTGTGTGTGAATGTGTGTATGTGTGAGTGTGTGTGACTGTATGTGTGACTGTGTGTGAGTATGTGTGTATGTGAGTGTGTGTGTATGTGTGTGAGTATGAGAGAGTGTGTGAGTATGTGAGTGTGTGAGTGTGTGTGTGTGAGAGAGAGAGTGTGTGTGAGAGTGTGTATGTGTGAGTGTGTGTGACTGTATGTGTGACTGTGTGTGTGAGTATGTGTGTATGTGAGTGTGTGTGTGTGTGTGTGAGTATGAGAGAGTGTATGTGTATGTGTGAGTGTGAGAGTGTATGAGTGTGTGAGAGTGTGTATGTGTGAGTGTGTGTGACTGTATGTGTGACTGTATGTGTGTATGTGAATGTATGTGAGTGTGTGTGAGTGTATGTGTGAGTGTGTGTGAGTGTGTGTGAGTGTGTGTGAGTGTGTGAGAGTGTGTATGTGTGAGTGTGTGTGACTGTGTGTGTATGTGAGTGTGTGTGAGTGTGTGTGTGAGAGTGTGTGAGTGTGTGTGAGTGTGTGTGAGTGTGTGGGGGGGCATTAACTGCACTGCTGGGAAATGTCAGGGACTACTTTGAAGCTGGGGCATTACTGCTATTTAAAGCTAAACTCGGGATAGCATCTCTCTTGGTGAGACTGATTTTGTTGGGAATGAGCATCCAAGCCTCTTGGGGTTTGGACATAAATCCTGTCTATAATCCTAGTCTCTTTCACTGAGGGTGTGTTGGGTCATGTGACCAGTCCTAGCCAATGACAGATTGAAGAGCTGCTGGGGCTCCATTTTCACCTCTTCTTTCCCTGGCACAAAAGTTGTCATGAGAGGCACACAGGGGATGACACCTGACCCTTGGTGTGGCCCTGGAGCTGCCCTGTCCCTCAATTCAAGGTTATTTTGGTTTTCTCTGCTTTGTTCTGGGCTTGCTGTACCCCAATAAACACAGGGGTTCACAGCAAAAAGCAGAGGAAAGGGAGGTCTTCGCTCATGCTCAGATTTTAGTTCAAGCTGGGCCCAAGGCTTAAAGGGGAAGAGGCAATAAGCACCCTCACAAGGTCCCCACAACATACAACGCACAAACACACACACACAGACACACACACACGCACTTCGGTGAGCTCTATATACCCTGAGGTGGGGCAGAGGGGAAGCAGGACATGCCAATGGAGGCTCCTGCCAAGGTGATCCTGTCCTCTTTGCTCACGTTGAGCCTGGTGGGGGTTCACAGAGAACACGCAGTCACACACACATGCACACACACACACACACACACACACATGTACACATGCATGCATTCATGTTTGCATGCACACATACACGTGACTTGCTTCTTAGCCACAGAGGCAGAATCCCTCTTTCTGCCCAAGGCCCCAAGGAGGAGGCAGCTGGAAACATAGGAAGGTAATAGCAGCACAGTGTCCCTGGCTGGTGAGGACTGGTTCAGACTGCCTTCCAAGAATAGGCGTGTATACAGGGAAGACCTAGGTTTGACCAGAAGCCATGCTCAGCTGTATGATGGGTGGGGGAGTGACTACAGCCTGGAGCAGATATTTGTAGGACACTGAGAAACGTAAGGACAGTCCTAACTGGTGACAATGGGACACTGAGCCACTAAACTGCTGCTTGCGGGGCCAGGGAGAGGCAGTCGAGAAGACAGTTTGACAACATAAACAACCCGTCAAGTTCCTCAATTTCAGCGATAAAAGCTGTCCGGAAAATGAAGGTTAGTCAGAGGAAAACAGCCTTGTTCCATCGATGTGAGAATCTGTGCTGTCAGTTCTTTCCCTGGACTGGTGATGAGCAGTCCTTGGGAAAAGGTCAGCCACCTTCAGGCACATGGGGACTGTATCTGTTCTCACCTCATCCTGCCTCCGACCAGCCTGAGGGTCAGGCGCTTCCTCAGTGTGACTGTGGTCTCCACCTAAGGCCTTCCTGCCTCCCTGCCCAGCCCTGTGAACTCTTGACTCTTGTCCTGGAAATCCCTCTTTCCTCTCTGGCTCCCTCTGTGTGCCCCACCCATAATGTCCTTGCCATCTGCTTCTGTTCCTGGTGAGTGTCTCCGGCTCTCCCTGCCCTGTACACGTGGCAGCACGGGCTCCTGCAGTGCAAGGGAGGAGATTCAGCCAAACAAGTCATCCAACAGGCAAATGCTCTTCAGCCAGAGCTGTGTCGCTCCTCCCCTAAACACACAGATGCGAGCACACACATAGACACACACAGAAAGATACACATAGAAAGATACATATAGAAAGACACACACACACACACACATACACACACTATTGTATGGACACTGTGGGAGTGAAGCCAAGGCTCACACAGTGGGAAGAAACAGCCCAGGGCCCATGACAGGGAACAGTGAGGTGATGGTCCCTGACAAAGTGGGTCTGAAGGGGAAGTAGTCCCACTCAGAGACCCTCAGCCTGCCTGCAGAGCCCACAGGAGCTGGGACCCAAGCTCACCATTTCTCTCAGACTACTCATGCATACTTCACATTTTTTGGAACAATTATCCCTCATGTCAAGTTTCTGCACCACTGCGAGGCCTTGTAAGTTCTGAAGTGGGATTCTGCTGTCATTCTCATGTATACTTTGAATTAAAGTTCTCAGTAGGGTAAAAAAGAAAATTTGGGGTCAGATATTAGAGAGACAGTGAGGGGTCCAAAACAGTTAAATTACCCAGCATCCTCCATCCCTCCAGCTAAACAAGAGACCGCCTTGAGCAAAGGCAGAACAGAAAGCCACCAGGTCTCTTAGACGCGTCTTTAGGAATAGATGAGGCGGATGGGCAGGATCTTTGTCTTGGCTAGGCCAGCACCAGCCTGTTTACCACTCTCAGCATCCAAATCTCTCACCTCCTTCAAAAGTCCAGTAAGAACTTGCTGTCCTCATGGTGTGTGGCATCCTCCCAATTTCTGGTGCTCATGTCTGCCCTGGACCACAATGCAAGCCTCCTCCCTCTGCTCTGGATCTGTCTGTACCACCTGGCCCCAGTAAGCTGCCTCTAAAAGGCCCCAGCCCAAGGTCAACCCCAGACTAAGCTACACACATGGCATCTCTCCTTTGTCCAACTCCATTCTGTTTACTGCCTCTCTGTCCGTCTCTCTCTGCTTTCAGTTTATCTCATTGAGACAGTATCTATATAACCCTGACTAGCCTTCAACTCTATATAGACCAGGCTAGCCTTCAACCACAGAGATTTCCCTGCCTTTGCAGAGCACTGGGGTTAACGGCATAAGCCACCATGCCCAGCTCTTTCTACTTTACAGAGATCTTCTCTCTGCAACCCTGCCTTGATGGCCTCCAATTTTATGAAGCCCCTGCCCAAGCTCTACTATGTTTTGCTTGTTTGGAAAGTCCCTGTCACCAAGATCTAGGATTCCTATACCCACTGGGACTATGCCACTGAGTCAGAACACTGAGTGTGAATATTGTCAGAGGCAATCTATGGCTGCCTCTGAACTGAGGCTGGGAGGAAGTGTGTACAGTAGTGTGACAGGAGGGAGAGGTAGGTGCTGGAATGCCTATGACTTTGGTGGGAACATTCGTGTGCAAATTCTGCAGGTGCCTGGCACGAAGTTCTCAGAGCGTCAGGCAGCTAACTAGCTGATCACAAATTCCACTGACCGCTAGACAGCAGATCTGGGTCTGCTTTGTGTTAGAGCCTAGTTAACAAGCAAGAGCTTGGCCTGAGCACACTGTGAGGCTATTGTACAGGTACAAATGGGTCGCCTCTCTTCAGAGCCCTCAATGGGCCCCAAGGACACAGAGCCCACTCTGCCACTGAATGGGCTTGGAGCCCAAGCAGGTGCAAAAGATATGTTCATCTTCCACTTGGGACACAGAGAGCCACCAAATAGGGATGGCTACACAGCAGGGCACAAACTCCTGCTCTCCCACCCGCAGCAGCAGACAGAGAGTGGAGGCAGGGGCCAGCTTAACATTATAGGCAAGGGACTGTGCTGGTCAATATGGCCACCCCCAACAGACCATTCTCAGGAAGGCAGGATGAGTATTTTCTTTCTGTGTCTTATGAGACAGTGGTACGGGACTCTGCGGTACCTTGCACAAGTGAGGTTCTGTGGTTGGTATGTGGTGAATATTGTCAACTTGACAGGATCTAGACTTACCTAAGACATCACCTAAGATGAGTGTCTGGGCATGTCTATGAAGCTGTTTCTAGGCTAGGTCAGTGAAGGTAGAGGTGCCATTCAGTGGTCAGGGTCCAGGTCAGAATAAAAGGGAGAGAGAAAACAAGCTGACCACCAATATTCATCTCTCTGCCTCCTGACAGCAGATGAGATCTGACCAGTGCCTCACAACCTGGTTGCCATGTCATCCACGCCCATGGTAGACGTACCCTCAAGCCAAAATGAACCCTTTCTGCCCTGAGTTGCGTTTGTCCAGTAACAAGACAGTAGCTAATACAGTTGGTGAGGCACTTTGGAGTACCCAGCTGGAACATGAGTTTCTGGAATGTTCTCTGAGGGAAATCACCACCATGCTTCTGCTGCATAGAGGTACACTGTAGACCAATAGATGTTGCCCAAGAGAAGACATGGTACCTGCCGGGCGACATGCCATATAATCCTGAAGCCTCCATGCCCGCACCGCTGTGAGGCAAACCATTGTCAGCTCCACTTTGCAGGCAGTGAAATTAAGGCTCAGGGACGTGGGGACTTACCCAGATAGATTTTAGCTGACTCTCAGTGAGACTCTGGGACTCTGGCTTTGAATGACTGGTGGGCAGGACAAAGTGGCTATCTTCCAAGGCAGGAGATGGCCGTAGGACAAATGTATCAGGCTGAATTGCCAAGAGAATCCAATATCTTTATTCACACTGGCCAAGCAGGCAAGGACAGTCAGGCTGAGGGTGGTTTTGTAGAACCAGCCTTCACAGCACATGGCAGGCCTTGCCTCTGTCACCCTGCCACAGCTCCCTCGGCTGTTAGCACCAGAGATGCCCTCCCAGGGCCAGCTCTGCCCTGGATCTGCAGAAGCACCAATGGACGGAGGCCACCTTCCCCTGAGAAGCTTGGACAGGCTACAGTGGAAGAGAGGAAGGTTGGAGGGCCACCAGGCCACACAGCCTGGGAAAGACATGGGGGTCTTGGTGTCCCTTGCTTTTCCACAACCTCCCCCAGGGTCTGTCTTGGCAGCATGGCTCAGAGAAGGCCCCCGGGTAACCTGAATGTCACTGGCTTCAGTCCCCAGACCTGCTTTGGGCTGAAACCTGCCACCCCTGTCCTGCCTGTCCTGCCCACAATGTCTGCAAGGGTACTGCAGGCAGGAGAAGCTGTGAAATGGAGCCACCTCCAGGGGGACGGGGGCTTAAGCACCTTCATAAACCCAGTGTGAGCCTGGGCCTCTGAGGAGCCAGAAGGACCAGAGAGCACTAGTACATGGTCTAACCATGGCTAAAGTCATGGAGAACGGGGAAAGGAGGCAGAAAGGAGGGGTCTTCAAAGGTCAGGGAAGAGAGCGGGCTCTGATTCCCAGATGCCCCTTCATCCCAGGTGTGTCTAAACCCCTAGGTCTCCTCTAAGCTAAGACTATACCTATAATATTTATGTTAACGCTGGGCACTGGGCAAGAACATGGAGACTGTGAAAGGGACATCAGCCCCATCTCCAGGACCTGTGGCACACAGGAGCAGGGCCCACAGTGCCCGCGGACCCAGTCTAGAGGAGCAGCCAGTATGTGCTTGTGTCTTAGCACCCACGTCTGGGCCTTCCTAAGGCCTGAGACCAAGTGAACGTTCAGCATTAGATGAATGCACAAGTGGACAGTGGCTGGAAAGAGGGAGGAGGGGAAAGGTCAGAGGTGGGGGAGGACGGGGAAGGAGAAAGCCAGGGGATACGGGAAGAATGCTATAGTCTGGGGGGGGTGCAATTCTAGAGTGTTCCCTAGAATGCTGGGAACATTCTAGAAAGCACAGTTCCTCAAGTGTGATCCATAGACCTATAGCCACAATGTTACAGAGGAAATCACTAGAAATGCAGACTCCTGGGTCTACCCCAAATATGAAGCCAGAATTATCGGATAATAGAGTCCCCATGGACAAGTAGCACAGTGGAGTGTCAGGAGAGCCTGGCAAAGTCTGGAATACGTAAGCCCAAAAGTATCGGAAAACGAAGAAGAGAGGTGGAGAGAAGGAATGAAGGGCAGCAGACCCAGCCCTGAGACCTACGGGACCTGCCCTAGCCACCAGTCCACCCACCAGCTACCCAGCTGTTAAGGCGGGCCGGGGCTCAGTCATCCTCTGCCTTGATCAGGTGGCCGCTGAAGGTGATGTACGTGTCCACGTCATCACTGTAGATGCCATTCTCCCGCTCCCGCTTGAAGAGACGCACCCACACGAAGTCACCCGGCACCAGCGGCAGCATCACGCTCTGACTCTGCATGATGCTGCGCTCACTGGGCTGTGCGTACAGAATCACCACCGCCTGCTCATTGTGGACGATATGCACGTAGGTCTCCTTGTAATTCCAGCTGTGCACATTGAGGCTGAAGAAGTAGAGGCCGCGCAGGGGAGCCACGAAGCGGCCAGTGGCCATGTCAAAGTGGCCATCGGTGTTCACGAAGACCCTGTCGAACAGCACTGGGAGGAAGTGCTCGCTGCTGTGCAAGCCTGTCTTGCGGCCCACAGAGAAGGCTGAGTAATGCGTCTGGCATGAGCTGCCAGGGCTACCTGCCTGCCCCTTGTCACCTTTGATACCCTGAGAGCCACGGTCCCCTCGGGTACCATTCTTGCCTGGCTTCCCTGGTGTTCCTGAAGGGCCTCTGTCCCCTTTGTCACCTGTGAGGACATGGAGGGGAGAAGTCAGGATGGTACCCATCCCTGTGCTAAGTAAGTACTCCTTTCTGGAAGCTTCTGCCCTTGCCAGGGTCCAGAAAAGATGCTGGTATTTATTAAGCACCACACTGCATGCTGGGCATTACCACCCCATACCTCCCTCTGCAGAGGTGAAACCGAGGCTATTTCCAAGGCCTTAAAGTATGTCCTATCCAGCTCAACCCGGGTCCCCTTCCTAGCAAGAAGAACATGGCAAGCTTCTGGGAGGCTGACCCACCTAGGACAGCCAGGAGATGGGGTAAGGTAAGACATGTTTTGTACTTCTGGTTAGAAAAGAAACTGCCTTTGGGTTTTGGGTCTTTAGGGTGTATCATAAAAGGCAATGCCAACTTCAAGGTTACATATGAGTCCTTCTTGGCTAGGAGAGGACAGGACATCAGGCGTGGCCCAGTCCATCTCCACCCTCCCTGGAATTGGTGATCTCCAACCTAGTCACTTTCCCAGCTGCAGGTTGAATTCGAGCACGGACATGACACTGCCCACCCCAACCCCACCAAACACACCTAGTGTGTACTGAAGAGACCTGACTGCACATATTTCCCTGGTGAGGTATACTTCTTCGGGTCTCCTTGACCTTAGCGGTGAGGTCAGTGGATGGTGGAGAGAAAACGAGGGAGGGGGCACAGGTCTGTGAAGACAGACCAAAGGAAAGTGGAGTGGGCATGTCCGTGGCTGTAGGCTGGCTCCATATGTCCTGGGAGAAAGAACCTCACTGGATACAGAGCCCTTGAGCACCCGCTCTGCCCAGCCTAAGGCTGAGGTGGTTCTGAGGAGAGGACTGTTTTTCTTCTACACACAAGCTAGCAGGAGGTTTAGAAAGAGGCCATCTTGACCCACAAGGCAAGGTGCTTAGACCCAGTGCCCCTTGTGCTACAGGGAACTATCCACTTTTGACAGCCTAGTCCAGGGCAACACAGGGCATGGGATGGATAGCCACAGGAAGGGCATCCAGGCCTGGGCCTTTCCACCTCCAGAAGCTGAGCTGCCTGAAGTTGCACGGAGCAAGGCCATGAAGTATTGTCACCCAGACAATTAGAGTGTGCTGGAGTCCCAGGTTTGGCCTGGCTATCAGAGGGGAGTGGCCTGCTCTGTCTCTGACATCGAGGTGACCCCAGGAGAGCCCCTCTTCTACTGGACACTAAGTTATGTCCTCACATTGGGTGGGGACATGGTGAGCAAAGATGGAGCCAGGATGTCAGGGGTGTGGCCGTGGCAGTCCTGGGTCCCCTTGCAGTGGTGGGACATCCATCCCATCTGGTGCTATACATCAAGGAGCTCCCCCAAGACACTGCACTTCAACCTCTGTCCCTGTGTGCACCACATGAAACCTATGGGGCCCAGTCCTCTCTCTGACCCCAGGGAGAGAAATCTATATCCTGGTAGTGGCTGGCGGCCCTGTGACATGTGACATCTCTTTTCACACCCCTGCTGGGAAGCCCCTTACCTCATGAACGTAAGCTTACATCACCTTCCCAGGAGCCCTGTGTGCCTGCTGTGCTCGCTCTGTTGACTGTGCCCCACACTTCACCCCAATACCCTCTGCCCATATCATTAAATCTCAGGGCCTTTCCCACCACCTGCTATGTTAACCAGGGAAATCTGTTCTCGGCCCATCAATGATTCCTTAGCTCCTTGCACACCCTAGGTGCCATGCATAGGCAGACAGGGCCTAGGCAAGGCCTGCCCTGCTTTCTTTTGTCCCTCCCTCCTTCCCTCCCTCCCAATTCCACCCATACCTTATCCAGTGTGGGAACTCACCCTTCAGGATGGTAATGTTGATGTACGGCCTGACCTCAGGCAGGATATAGGGGGGAACAGAGGCATGGACCGTGTCGGCAGAGGACAGCGGGTCCTCAGGGTCACAGCATCGTTGACAGCCTTTGGGGAGATGGGAGGCCACAGATTCCCCAAAGGTAGGCTCCTCTGTGGGGACCCCAAACACAAGAGGAAGCAGGAATATTGCCCAGAGGGACCTCAGGTTGGCTGTTCCCATGATGACCTGGAAGGAGAGACAGATACGTTTGTCTCAGCATATCTGGTATGTCAATGCCCAGGGATAACACTGTCCTGTAGCCATGGCAGACTCAGTGTTAGGGGAGCAGAGTAGGACTTCTGGCAACAGACAAGTCTGGGGCCACCTGGGAAGCAAGCCTGGGGTGGGGCACTAGACTGGCCATGGGGCCTCTTGGTGTCTGTCTACTGTGGCCATTGCCACACAGTCTGGGAAGGAGGAAGGCCCCGTGGAGACCCTCAGATGGCACAAACCAGGCTCCCAGGCCTTCACTGGGGCACCAAGGAAGATGTCAGATGTTCACATGGCTAACCAAGGAGATGGAGAATGTTTCTTTGGCCCTCCCCACTGAAGACTGTTTGCTGGCCTGGGCTCCCACCACCTCTTGCAAGCACCATAAGAGGTGACAGGAGCTAGGGTCCCTGAGACCAAGGGATTGTGGATCCTGCAGGCCACTTCTGTGCAGAAGCAGGAGGTCTCCCTCTTGAAGAGCAAGCCAGAGAACAGCATAAGGCTTATTACCTGGGTTCACCCTTCTGGCATCTTTGTGCAGTCAACATCCCACTCTTGCCCAGAAGTCAAGTGATTCAAAGGCAGTTGTATCAATCATAACAGGCCTACCAATCAGCCACTGAGGTGGTAAACTGATATTAAGGAGGTGATCAGAAAGGACATTGAAAGGTATCAGAAATGGTACTGTTCCAGCTTGGGCTTTGAACATGAAGCGGTCTAGAGTTTTCAGAGTGAGGCAGGAAGTAGGCCGGACACCGGGGAGCCTGGACCAGTGGGCAGGAAGCCTGCAGTGGGCCTTTGAGGTGGTGACAGGCTCAGGGGCTGACGCCACCCGATTATCACAGATCAGAAACTGCTATTGAAACCAGACTGGTTTTTACACCTCTGGCGTCTCTTTGTTTATTTCCTTTTTGTTCCTCTTTAACATTTAGTACAAATTCAAAAATATTTTTCTGTGGTTAATACAGGCTGAGGAGGTAAAACGATTACTTCTTGAGAGGCTATGAAGAGGGACAATGTATTAAAGGGACAGAAGCACTGGGCCTTCTCTCTAGAGACCGGGGTGACAACGGGAGGTTCTTCTGGAATGATCCTGTCCATACTGCTGGGGTCTGCTGGTTCTGCTCCACAGGCAGGGAAACCCCTCAGAGACCAACTCCAGAGACCTAGTCTCAACTACAGGTAGCAACAACCGCCGCCTTCCCTGAGAATACACACACACACACACACACACACACACATGTGCGCGCACACACACCACACTTTATTCTGGCCATAGTTGTGCTCTGTACAACTATGTGGGGGAACTCCGAATAACTCACAAACATGTGACCTAGTGATTGCAGCTTAGCCCCTTTCATTCACACAAGATGCCAACATGTCTTCCTTGCCAGGCAATATGGGCGACTTACACTTTGGGAAACTGCCCAGCTTGTCAAAGACTTCAAAGGACCCATTCCTTCCTCTTCCTGTATAGACCTCACCATAGAGTCTATGGCTGTATAGAACTCCCCCCCACTGTCCCCCACCCCAGCGTGGTTTGGAGACATTTTTGTTTCCTATCTGTCTGGTCCCTTGGGAGTCACAGAGACACAGAACTGAAGCTTAGGGACAGGAAGCAGGAAGCAGGGCCCTCTCCTTAGACAGTACTAACTGCAGCTGGGAGCCCTGGCTGGGTCCTGGGAGGGGAGCCGGGTAGGACTAAGTGTGAGGGATCACACCAACCATAGAGGGCTCTTGCCGATCCCCACTACCTCACCTAAAAAGCCAGAGCCTATTTGATGACTGGCCGGGCTACCATTGTTATCATCCAGATGGGTGGGGCGGGGCTTAGTGGCTGGGGGTGGGGAGGAAGTCCCTGCAGGGAGGGGCAGGTAAACCCCAGGAGCCGTGCAGGGTGGCCAGAGGTGCAGCGACCAGGCGATCTTCCAATGAGCTGGCTAGGCCAGAGGGAAAGAGCTATGTGCTTGCCAGAAAGAGGGGAACACAGGAATCTCAGATTATGACTCTGACCCCGATCCCAGACAGAAGAAGAGAGGCCACCAGCCACTCACCCTCATCCTGCTGTTTCAAGCTCAACTCACAGACCCCGGACGGCCTCTGGCTCCTTGGCCCATGTCTGTGATGATAACTTGTTGCAGGCCCGACCCCTAGGCCTACGACTGAGCTAGGAGGGCGGAGGAATGGAGAGAGGGAGGAGGGAGCACGCTGAGCTGGCTTCCCAGTCCCCTCCTCCTGCTCCCGCCTCTCCAGCCTGGGGCTCTGCCTCAGAGATACTGGGAGGCTTGGATCATTAACATCCGTGAGCATCTGGATCCAGGCTCAGCTATGGGAACCTGTTTGAGTCAAATGCCCTAGGAGTTAGACAGGATGAGCATCAGGAGTCTAGAAATACTTGGCCTGGAAATTGGAGGCTGCAGGAAAGGGGGCAGGGCTCTGCTTTACTCTGGAAAACGGAGGCAGCGCTAGGAACTCTGCAGCCTGGATCTAGTCTGAACCCAAGAGCCATCTGCCAAGAGCTACAGAGACAGAGTGGCACCCACTGAGCCACTGGCACCCATCCTCCATAGGATAAATCCTGGTCCTAATATCCAGCAACATGGCCAAGCATTGCCTCTCCTACCCGAGGTGGTCTAGGATTCTGCCCCTAGTACGTAAGAATGAAGAGGGGCTTCATTCCCTCTTCCCCTACCTGAAATACAGCCTTCATTGAATCAACCTTTGGTCTCTTAAAGCCAGCTCCCTCTCAGAAGTAACCCCCAAGACGTTCATGGTGGAGCTGGAGGAGGCAGCCGGTGTGCCCTGGGTCTAGGCAGAGCCCTGCCTCAGTTTCCTCTTGGGCAAACTGGGGAATGTTTAGCAAAGACCACCACCCTGGCTCCTAGCCCTGGTTTCCTGGGGGGGGGGGGTCAGAAACCCTGTGCAGGTCCTGTCAAATGTCCCTCACCCTTGGTGACCTGTTATTTCAGTTTTGCTGAATACTTCCTGCCTGAGCTAGGCTTCACCTCTCTGGGAGCCTTGGTCCTCAAAGGTATTTAGATTTATTATACCCACCCCCACCCCCAGCCTCTCTCCAGGCCTGGGAGTGTTAGCAGGTTAGCAGTTAGAGGGTCTTGGCAGTGGTACTGCTCTCCAGTCTACTGCTTATGGGATAGATTTAGATCTGGGGCTTCCTGGCCCCACTGACAGCTAAAAAATAAAAAAATAGAAAAATAAAAAGTACACCAGCCCTGATCCTTAGGGTCCTTGACAGGGCTGTCTCTTGGCTCAGGCTTCCTGGGTAATTAGGCAGACAATCCAACAGCAGTATCAGGGCTGGAATGGGCCTCAGAGATGATCTAATCCCACCCCTTAATCAGGGACATTGTGGTCCATGGAGATCAAGCCTTTGGTACAAGGTCACATAGCAGAGCGAAATCCAAGTTGGGAGGATGCCAGATTCCTCTGGTCTGGTGTTGCCTCTCAAAATGACATGGAGTCCTCTGGTCCAATCAGGAATACTTGAGGGGGGAGGCAGAAGAAAACAGGTAGAGGGAAGATAGATTATAGGGGCCACCACCAGGCCCACACTGGCCTGGCTTTGTGTGGCCCTGCCTGAGCAGCATTCCTGGGGCACAGTTCCAGGCCTACAGAGGCTACCCGCTTCAAGCTACAGCCACCAGAGCAAAGGGCTGAGTCAGCAGCCCCCAGGGGTGGGACCAGCACCAGACAGTTTCAAATCTCTGGTGTAGAAAGCTGGGAAGTTGGATGGACCAAGGAGAAGCAGGCGCAGGGCACACAGTTGTGCAGAAGGCTGACTGTGTACCTAGCACTGTGCACCCCACTCCACACCCCACCTGCAGGGCCAGGCTGCTCCCTCCACCCTAACAAACCAGGAGGCTCCAGCCACTGACCACCATGAGGAAGTCCCGGACACATCTGGTAGATTTGAGACAAGGCGCCCAGTCCTGGAGTAATAGATTATGGCTCTGTTCCATATTCTTCTAGCTTCATGACATTGGGTAAATTTCCCTACTTCCCTGAGTCTTTGGGGTGGGGGTCAGGGTTGGGGTAAGACAAAGTTTCTCTGTGTAATACTGGCTGTCCTGGAACTCACTCTCTAGACCAGGCTTGCCTCGAAATCACAGAGATCTGCCCGCCTCTGCTTCCCCAGCACTGGGATTAAAGGTGCACACTGCGACTGCCTGACATTTGTCCGGGTCTTAATGACCCTGGGCCAGATGATCTAGAAGAGTCCGGGAATGTATGAATGTCTGGGAATAGCCAGCCAAAGGGTACCTTGCTACTTTGATTAAGCCCTGTGTGCTGAGGTGCGCACCTACTTTTCTCCGCACACCCACCAGTAGGTACCCTGAGGCCCATGATACCTTCTATTCTCTTTCAAAACCTCTGCCAGCAAATGTATACCGGGACACAAAAAGCCAGAACCAGGTCTAAGGCCAGAGTCCTACAGTGTGTTTGTTTCTCCACTCACTCCCGCCCTTTCTCCCTGGAGGCAAGACAAAGACTTGCTGACGCCAGAAGTGAGCCGTGCGTAAATTGTGACTGGTAATTCATAGTTGGAGTTCAAGGTCACTACCGAGGTAAGGTCTCCACAGATGAGTAGGAGGGCGCCATCTTCTGGAAGGAGCCAGCGTGCGGTCTGGCGCCCAGTACCAGAACCCCGGCAGGCAGTCCAAGCCTGGCTGGGGAGCGGAGTTTATTCCTCCAAACCTCAGCAGCACTCCACAAAGTGGGCAGGGTTCCAGGGCCCACCTCGTGGGAGCCTGGTAAGGAGAAGAGCCGAGCATATCCGAAAAGAGCCAGAGTCTAGTCCAGCCGAGCAAAGCCGAACAGAGTTGAATCCAGCCGAGTACGGCCGAGTAGAGCCGAACAGAGACGATTTTTTTCCGAGCCTAAACGAACAGAGTCGGGTCCAACCGGGTGGGATCTGATTGTGGCCGAAAAAAGCCGAATCTGAGCGAGGAGGAGGAGCTGGTGTTCTGAGGTCCAGCGACGCCCTCTGGCGGACACAGAAAGCACTGGGCTGACCTGAGCAGGAATCATTGGGTCACCTTGCTGTCCCATGATAGTCCTATCAGATGGGATTGTGAGGTGCACTTCAGGAATGAGGAAACCGAGGCTACACCAGAGCCCGAGGCTGGCTCACAGGCAATCTGAGCTAGGAAGTGAATGATCTGAGGTTCTCCGATTGCCTATGGCCAAGAACACCCGTGCCACTGCCCACAATAAGTCAGGTTGTGTTTGTCCACTTATTATAGCCAGAGCCTACGAAGACCTCCCTTGTAGAGAGCAGACAGAGCTCAGACACAACCATAGCCTCACAGATGGAGAAACCAAGCAGGCTCTGGAGGTGTTGACTGAGGGCGGCGGGGCAGCAGTCAGTGCCCATGAGCAAATATTGACACATTTCCTGACCATTAAAGCAGAAAGTCCGACTGAAAGAGGACATTTTGTCCCTTCCCTGCAAAGCTTTGAAACTTCCTGCCCCCACCCCAGGCCTCAGTCTCCTCACCTGACACAAGATGGTAACAAAGGATGTGGCCAGGATCCCAGGTCTCTGGGTCCCAATGGGCATGAGGCATGGCTAGACACTCCTTGGAGCTAGTGAGAAAGAGAAGCTGTCTGTACGCGTGTACATACTCTGGATTCACCCCCATTCTACGGTGCCCTGGAGTGCCTGTCCAGGGCTGTAGGGATTGTGGCGCTGGGCCTCTAGGGAGCAACTGAGGCCGTGTGGTCTGACTATCCCATCTGCTGTATACACTTCCAGGGTCATTGAGTACCATGAAGGAGCTGGCACTGGTAATCTCAGAGCACCCAACCCCCAGCATCAACCTATCCACCTAGCATTGGGGAGGCTGAGGCAGGAGGATGGCCCTGGACCAGGGCTGGGAAAGCACTGTTGTTCATCTTCTCTCTGGTCCTGACATTAGGTAACAAGCATAACATCCCAGACCACCCAGAAGGTCTTGCACGTCTGTCCTGTGGACACACTTCTAAAAATGCTTGTGCAGTACTGTGGACAGCAGGCACCAGCCCAAGATCTGCAAAAGCTAGCTCATCTAATAACCTAAGCTCTTCCTTGTCCAAGTGAGGAAAAAGCTGAGACAAGGAGAGGTTGATCATGGGTTCAAAGCCAGGCGGTTAGTAATCGGATGGGCCGAAACTAAATCACAGGCAGTCTGAGTCCATAGTGTCTGAACAGTGACACACTCTGCTATCCCTTCCTTGGTTCCTAGACAAGCCATCTTGGCCTCTGGGCTCAGCCTTTGGTAGTTAACAGTATCCATTCACCACATGTAGCATGATGGGTGAGCAGGTTGGTGGACAGATCTCGAGACTCGAGTTGGAGGAGCCGCTAACACCCTATGGCGAATGGGCTGTGGTCTTAACGAGAGCCACAGAGGGAGCTTCAGAAACAGAGATCGTTGTGTTGACAGGAACAGGGGTTCATGCCTGGATTCCGGACACTTGGGAGGCTGAGGTAGGATAGTCTTGAGGTCCAGACCAGCCTGCACTACAGAGTGAGACTTTGCCATGAGAAAGAAAAAGCAAGGACAGAAGAGAAGGTACCTGTCTGTCTGCAAGTGTAAGGACCTGAGTTCAGATCCCTAGTAGCCTACAATAAAAAGCAGCTCACGGTCACATGTGTTACGAACCCTGGCACTGGGTTCTGTGAGAGATCCTGTCTAAAAGGTAAACTGATAGAGATTGGGAAGACATCCAACACAGGCCTACATATATGCATGCCTCAGCACACATGTATACATACACACACAGAGACCCACACCACACTGACACATACAGACACACAGACACACATACTGACATGCACATACCACACATACTGACACACAGACAGAGACAGTCACACACAGAGACACAGACATCACACACAGACACACACTCAAACATGCTCATCACTTTATTGTGACAGTTCTGGAGTCCAAAAACCCAGGATCAAGGTGTCATCCTTGTAGCTTCTCCGGGCATGGTAAGTCTGCTTTAAGCCTCAATCTGTCATTTGGGAGGTTGCTGGCACCCTCAGGGTCACTGCGCTTCTGTCATTTGGGAGGTTGCTGGCACCCTCAGGGTCGCTGGGCTTGGAGAAGCATCACCTTTGTCTTTGTTGGGGGGAAGGAGGGCGGTGCTGGGTTTTTAAGGCAGGGTCTCACTGTGTAGTACAAACTGGCCTTGAACTACAGGTAGTCCTGGAATCCCGGGTATGTGCCACTCCATCACCTTGACCTTTACCTCTATGCTGCTCTTGTTCCTGTCTGTCCAAATCTCTTTTCCTGGGGACACACATTGTATTGAATCCACCATACCTGAACGTGACTCCCTTCCCTACTTACATCTGGGACAACTTTGTTTCCAAAAGAAAGAGAAACAGGTTAAGATTTCAGTACAGGAACTGGGAGGAACACAATCCAGCCCCTAACAGGAGCTGGCTCTCCAGGGCACCATGACTTTACAGCCTGTCCCTCAGCATGGGACTTCAGCCTCCTATGACCTTGCGGGCTGCCTTGTCTAACTGTAGAGCATCAGCACACACCAACCCTGGTACACAGACTCCAGCTCCTGCCTCTCTGCACACCCACTAAGCTCTCCCAGCATACTGCATCCAAAAAAGAGCAATGCACAAGTGACCACCACGAATGTCCAGATGCAGGAGCCAGGCCCTGACATCCCCAGTCACCTTGTCTCCAGGACAACCCAGTGTGGGGGATGGTGCTGACACACAGCTAGCCCTCAGAAAAGTCTCTGCTAGCTAAGTGAACTATGCCCAGAGAAGGGAAAAAAAATGTCACACAGTAGGTTCACAGTAAAACGGAGTCTAACTAAGGCCTGGGTCTCATTATATGTACATATATTTAAGATTTATTTCTCTCTCTCTCTCTCTCTCTCTCTCTCTCTCTCTCTCTCTCTCTGTGTGTGTGTGTGTGTGTGTGTGTGTGTGTGTGTGTGTACTATGGCATACATGTGGAGGTCTTAGGACAACCTGGAGTCAGTTCCTTCCAAGGACCCTTGGAGGCCAGAAGAGGGTACCCACCCCTGAAACTGGTTACAGGTGATGTAAACTGCTCTGGAAAAGAAGCAAGAAAGCTTCTTAACCTCTGAGGCATCTCTCCAACCCCTCTCAAGACTTTTAGGGATATGTTCCTCCTGCAGCTTCACAGTGGACTCCCCAAGGGCGTGAGGGTTGTCAGCAACAGGAAGTCCCCTGAGTCTCTTCAGGACCACCCCTTCCTCACCTCCAGGACAGCCTGGGATCTACTACTCAAGACTTTTCTCCATGGGGTTCCATGGAGCCCAGTTGTCAGCTCCCTCTGGGACAGTGGCCCACGTCATCTTCAGATAAAGAGGACCCCAGCGCTCCTTAGCCCTGTCCTCCCCTGCCTCAGACCCCAGAGGCTCCCAGCTCTCTCCCCATCATACTGTTACAGATGCACAAAGTCCTGATCCAGAAGCTTGCGGCCATGGGCTGTTGCCTGGCAACCACCTCTGAGAGACAAGATCAAGGTAGTCATCAGCTTCCATTGCTGAAGAGGACCGAGGCAGGCTTGGCTATCACTACCTTTCTGTCTCTGCTCAGGACTAAGTCCTAGATTCTAGTCAGCAACTCCAAAACAAGCTCCCTCAGTTTCCCCTGCTTGCCCAACACACCCTTACTTATTCCCAATCCCAGCTTCAAAGCAGGCTCCTCACAGCACAACTCTGACCCCAGTGGCCTAACCCTATTTTGTATTCATCCCAGAGACTCACGGGGAAGGGCCAGAGCTGCTCTGCCAGGCCCTGGAGACACAGCTGTATCGTATCATGCCTGCCCTGCAAGGTCAAGATTTTTAGATACATGTGGACACATGCTCTTCAGGGTGCCCCAGCAGCGAGTCCCAGTGTTAGTAAGTTCAGAACTGTGGGAGCAGAAGAGAACCCCCAGCCCATGTGGACACTGCCAGGTAACACAGGCAGTGGCTGGCCCGTCCCTGAGGCTGCACGCACCTGCCTCATAGAACACTCTGGGTACATGTTTATGGGATGAGCACCTTCTACACAACGTGCACTGAACAAAGTTACACACACACACACACACACACCCCTGTATGACTGTACCTAGATACTGTAGCCACAGGAAGCATAGGCACACTCAGCCAACTGCTGCTGGCTGGCTCTTCCTCCCACGACCCTGCCCCTCCCACCACTGGCCAGATTATATTGTCCATCCACGACCCTGCCCCTCTTACTACACACCATTGGCCAGACTATATTATCTGTCACACCGCCTCCCCTCTGGCGGTCTGGAAAGGCAGACACTAACCAGTCATCATCACCCTCATGGCCTCGTCTTTGGTGACTTAGTTGTACTCCGTTATCTCTCTGCTTTGAGATTTGCTGATTAGGTAATAGTAAGAAGAGGTATCATTTTGGGCTACAAATCTTCAAGGATGTGAGTTCAGATTTTCAAGCACATCTGTGTAACCCTTGAAGGACTAGGAAATTATAGAGAAAGAAGCCACCCAACTGCACACTCGGCCATCGGGACACGCAGAGAAAACGGTCTTAGTTACTATCTTTATTGACAGGAGCTCAGGTCAGAAGCAGTAAATAATTTCTCAACTGGTCACCCTGCTTCCTTTGCAAGACACAGCTCACCTGCTCCATCCAGGAAGGTTGGCCTGCTCACTTCCGGACCTCAGTTCCTTTTCAGAGGAACCCCTGGGCTGGGTCTCAGTTCCCACACAGGTCTGTTTGCAAACTTCCTCCTTCTGGGGTGGCTTGCATTCTCCCTGGCCCTTGGCTTCTGACCTCCTGCCCTACATTTCTCATGAATCTCTTCACCTCCAGTAGCTGATACAGAAGCCACTCACTAGAGGGGCAGGGTGTGGGCTGAGCCTGAGGTTGGGGTACTGCCGGTTTGTATCCGTACGCAGCCCCATTGTGGTAAGCAGTAGCCTACCCGGCATGACTCAGTTCCCTCCTGGGTTCCAGCAGACTGGAGAAATGGGGAAGTACATTCTCACTATGATGAGGATATTGAGGCGCAGAGACAGAGCGTGTGGCCAAGCGGCTTGAGGTGAATAGAAGATCCAGCTTTCTCAACGTCTGGATTTGTGGGTTCCCTGAGAACCCTGCCTCTGCAGGGTAGGGTGATGGTTTGGGCAGAAGCTCCATCCTCTCCGGGGCCAGCACTGCTGGGACCAGAAGAGCCATCTCTGGCAAGGAGGAGGATGAAGTCCAGCTGAAACAGTGGCTACTCCCCATGACATCCCTGGGAATACAGAGGATGGGGGGTCTGACCCACACAAGGGGCTTACCATCCCTCCCTAGTGTCCCGAGGAGCCAAGTCCATTCCCAGGACTCCATCATGACCTGTGCCCCTCTCACCAGCCCCGTGCACCCTCCTGCAACTGAGCTTAGCCCAAGGGGTACGGGGGAGGCGGGGGAGTGATAGAGGAAAAAGGTTGGCTCAAGATCGTCACAAAGTTCTGTTCTCTCCTCCCTCCTCTCCCATCCCCCCTCCTGTTCCTACTGCCTCAGCTCAGTCTCTTTTCTCCCTCTCCTTCCCTCAGGCTGCTGCGTAGCATCTGCCCTGGGGACCAGGTAGCTAACCTGAATAGCCTGAATTGAACGGGGTGAGTCAGTCTTCGGGTGGCCTGAGCCTGGGTGGTGTGCAGTCCTCCCCCCCAGAGAAGGAATACAAAATTAGAAGACCAGTCAGATGTAGGCCGCAGAGGGACCCAAGCAGCAAGAACCCTCTGAAACTTGGTTTCATCTGCCTTCTGGAAAATTCTTTCCCCTCATGTCCAAAAGCACAGAAAGCCCAATGCTCAGAAGCTGGGGCGAGGGTCTGTAGGACCCTGGACTGTCCTGTAGAAGAGGTAGGAGGCCTGGGCATGAACAGAGTGACTGAGGCCACACAGCAGCATGGTGAGGGCTCACCTGGGTCCTAAGCTATGACATCCCACCGCACCAAGCTCATCGGCATCTCTGATTCCCCAAGCCCTGGCACGCTTCCTTGAGGCCCAGGATACAGACTGATGCCCAAGATACCTTGTTTCTTGGTCAGACTGCCCAAATTCCCTTAACTTGGGCTCTGATCAGGAGATTGAATCCCAGTAAAGAATCCAGACTCCTCTTCTGACAGGGCCCACCCAGGCTCATTTTACCCATCCCTGAATCCAAATTAAAAAACAAGGCCGAGAAGGCAAATGACCCACCAAAGGACATACAGCTTGCAAGCGCTGGCACAGTGGGACAGAGCCCAGGCCTATGAACATTCCATCACTGGACCCTAGTACTGCAGCGGTCCAGAGAGTGACTAGGACAGCCAAGTAAATAAGGTCACTCTAGCTGCTGTTTGCTCAGACCACTGCATGTGGCTAGTATTCGTGCCCCTAGGTCAAGCACAGCTTCTGCTCTCTTCTGAACCATGCTGGCTCTTTGACGGTCCTTACAGATGGCTCAGTGTGCTGGCCTTGTCCCCAGCTGTGGCCTCCTGGGGAAGGAGCTCCTGTTCCTTGGCAGTGCCTGTGCAGGGCCGTTGCTGTTGTCCACTAGTGCTGGACTGTGCGATCTGACTGACCCTCCCATTCATCTCCTGCCTTCTCTGCATCCTCCGCTCCTCTTCTTCTCTTCTCTCTTCTTCCTCTTCATCCTCCTCCTCCTCCGTCTTCTCTGGAGGGCCCGACCCTGGCTCCTGGCTCCGTACTCGACGCGATGGTCTTAGCAGGATCCTGCGGAAGCCCTGCTTGAAGCGGTAAGAGAGGAAGCCGTAGAGGATGGGGTTTGCGCAGCTGTTGGCGTAGGGCAGCGCCACCACCAGGAAGTAGAGGCCAAAGAAGGCGGGCTCCTCCGGTAGCGGGCACACCACATTAACGATGTTGAGCAAATAGAAAGGCATCCAGCAGAGGACGAAGAGTGCCACCACGGCCACCACCATGCGTGTGACCCTGCGCTCAGAGCGCCGCCGCCGCTGGCATGCAGGTGCCTGTACCCACTGGCACGAGGGCGCCCGCACCCGCCGTGTGGTCGACCGCACCTTCACCACAATCAGCAGGTAGCATAAGCAGATGACCAGCAGGGGCCCAAAAAAGCCTAATGCGGCCGTGTAGATGATGAAGGCCGTGCGCCAGGCAGCCGCTGGCTCTGGCCACTGCATGTGACACGTGCTCATGCCCCGGGGCACTCCTGAGAAAACAACCACAGGCAGCACCACCACAGCTGAGGCTACCCAGACAGCTGCACTGACCGTGCGAGCCACAGGTGCTGTGCGCCAACGGGCCGAGCGTGTGGGGTGCACCACAGCCAGGTAGCGGTCCACACTCATGACGGTGAGGCAGAAGATGCTGGTGAACTGGTTGATGCCATCCACGGCCATGACCAGTCGACACATGAGAGATCCAAAGGGCCAGTAGGACAGGGCGTTCTGAGCAGCCAGGAAGGGTAGCCCCAGCATGAAGAGCTCGTCGGCCAGTGCCAGATTGAGGATATAGACACTGGTCACTGATGGGCTGGAAGTGTGGCGCAGTACCACGTAGATCACCAGCGAATTGCCCAACAGACCCACCACACACACCACCAGATACACCAGAGAGATCAAGATGCCACTGACAGCCAGGCCCGCCAGGCTAGTGCCAGCAGATGCATTCCCCAGGGTGGTGTCCAGAGGCCAGGCTGAGGATGTGTTCCCAGGGTCCAAGGTTGTAGGCACCAATGAAGGATAGGTAACAGTGGCCATGGCTGAGATGTCAATCAGTCAGCAGTAAACAAGCCCTAACCTACAGGAGGGAGAACACGGCTTAGTTGTGAAAGAACAGCTTTGTATGTGCCACCTTGAACACCACCAACACCTTGACCTTAAGACACCTACTATGTGCCAGCTCAGAGAGCCTGATCAGCATCTTGTGTTTTCTGGACAGCCCAATAAGGTGAGGGGTGCTATTCCTAATTCTCAGGTGAGACTCCCAACCCCGCCCCCAACTCCAGGTAAAAGTTGATATAGTTGTGTCTTTTCTAGCAGAGTCCAGAACTTTCCTCAGACTTCCAATTCCAAACAGAATGGCAGTCTCCTCTCCTGGGAGTCAGAGCCCTTGACACCTCCCTAACCCTGGCCGTCCCATGAGGTCCCCTACCTACAGCTTTGCCTGGAGGAATGAGTGTGAATGTGAGGAGGGTTGCCTGGACCCCTCCTCCTCCAGGACAGACTGAGAAATCTGCCTCTTTGGAAGCTACATCTCCCAAGTGCAGGGCTGAGTACTGGGCTGAGCAGGAGAATGCAGCAGGAGAGGACATTCCCTGGTGCTTGGTGAGGTCCTGTGTGCCTGTGTCTAGGGGACCCTTCTGGGCTCCTTTGCTGGACTCAGAATCTCCTGAATCACCACGGTCAGCCAACGCTGGACTGTTTCCACTGCCCCCACCTCTCCCTCACTCCATCACATCCTTCACCGGTGAGTGAGGCATCAAATGAGTCAGAAGAGCCCAGAGTGGGCAGACTTGTGAAGGCGTGGGCTGCACACTGGGGACCTGGGGGAATAGAAGCCCTCTGGCCTCCTCCTCAGCAGGTTCCTGCTGCTAGAACACCAAGGTACAAGGCCAAGAGCAGCCCTTCCCATGAACCCGATCCTCTGCCCCGTCTCTTTCCAGCCAATAAACTGCTGTGCTCACCCGTCCAGTTCCCTTGGATCTCGGATCCTGAGTGCGTCTAACTCTATGCTGCAGTGTCGGGTGAAGGGGAAGTCCCCAGGCTAAGAAAGCTGCCCTTCTCAATTCTGTATTGACCCACTGTGGGTGTGGACCCCTGCACTAGAAGCTGAGAGTGCTTTAGGTTTCCTGATGAGCCTCTGGATGTAGGAGGCTCCTAGAAGCAGGAGCCACCTAGCTCCCAGCATGCTCCTGAGGAGGAGCATATGTGACAGCTCTGAGTGCCAAGCTGATGATGCCAAGGATGGCAATGGACCCCTGGCAGAGAACCAAGGCTCACCATGCTACACTCCAGATTGCCCAGGCTTCTGGCAGCCTCCAAGCTCCTGGCTCAGAGAGCCGCGAGTGTTCCTCAACCTGCCACACCCTCAGCTCTCTTGAGCTGGCTCTTGGGAATCTGGTAGTGGCTGTAGGATTCTGTAGGGTCCTCACAGAGCTGGCTGCTCCTTGTTGAACCCTGACCCCAGAAGACTTTGGGAAAAGCTGGCGTCTCAGAACTGACACAACCCCTGTGCCTACAGCGCGGGGCCTTCCTGCTGTCCTCACCAACTGACCAGGAGCTAAGAGGAGTCTCGCGATCTGGGCCAGAGACAGGAAGAAGCACTTACAGGAGGACCCATCATCCTATTTTACAGATGGCCAGACTGAGGCCAGGCCCTTGACTCAGTATCGTGATGGCTTCACTATCCTGACAGCCTAGGCAGAACTTGTCTGGGTGTTTGTGCTCTTGAACTCTGGACCATGGCCCCAGAGCCTCAGCCCCATAGGAGCCTAGAGATGGGCACTTAAATTCCTGGAGCACAGCCATGAGGTTCAGTCGGGTTTTCAGGCCCCGTGACTTTGAATCAGGGAATACTGCAACTCCAGACAGCTGGGGTGGAACCATCCTAGGTGAGGAACTTTGGGATCTAGGACCTTACGGTTCTGCTCCCAGGGTGGGGATGGGGCACCCTAGGTCACCTGGCCACCCTACCCACTGGCTTTATGCAGTGCCTCTTTATAGCTTTCCCATAGGGTGGCCAATCGAAGGCGCCCAGGACTGCAGGAGAAGGGAAAGCTGAGAACCAGGCAAACCTCATTTCCAGGCTTCAGGCACAGATGCCCTCAGGGAAGCCCAGAGTATGCTCCAAGGATGGCCCCTCCAGGTCCACACAAGCACATTCATAAGCCTGCAGAAGCACGCACGCGCACACACACACACACATGCATGAGAACACACACACACAGACACACACACACATACACACACACACACACACACACACACACACGCTCACAGGAACACAGCTACCCAGCCAGACCCTCCTCGGACTCGGAGATGGAACATCCCTCCTGGTACCCTGGCCCCCCTCCAAGACACCCTCCTTGCTGTCAAAGTTGACAGGCCAGGCAGGTTCCAGAACACAGAAACCACAGCTTTGCACTGGGGGAAAACAGACCTGCAATTTCGATGCCGTCTTTTCTTTAAGGTTCTGGGAGCCTATGCCTGATCTAATTCCTCCTTGGAAGGGAGGGAGGGACTTTGCCTCCCTGTCTGGTTTATCTTTGGCACCAGCTTGCCTGAAAACTGGGGGTGGAATCTCCTCAGGGGACTGTTCGGGAGGGGAGAGACACATAGAGAGGGTGAGTTAGTGCTCTCAAGCCCCACAGCAATTAAGGATGCCCCCCCAGGCATGTGAGACACCCCTGTTGCTCTTATTTCCCTCTCATCGACTCCCACCCTCTCCAGAGTGCTTTCCCTCAGCACCCAGCCTATCACTGTGAACTTAGTAAGTACTAGCAGAAACAAGCATGCTAAGCAGGAAGAAGTGAAAGGAGCAAGGATGAGAGGGGAGGGAAGTTGAAGCTCAGAGAGGTTAAGTGACTTCCACAGGGTCACCCAGCCAGTGAGTGAGAAATCCTGTCTGTTTACTGGACCATGCTGGCTTCCTTAAAAGCCTCTGGCTTGGAGTTGTCAAGAGTCAGGAGAGCTAAGGACAATGTACATGAGGACCTCTGGCTGGCTCTGCCATGTATGTGTCCCCTGCACCCCTGGACCTTCCCCCAAAGGGGCTGGGATTTTATTAGTCAGCAGTGACTGACATGAGCCCTAGGCCCAGAGCCTGACCCTCAGAGCCACCCCCTCAAGTCCCAAGCTGAGAACTTGGGCTCTGCTGACACTAAACTGCTGTGTGACCTTGGACAAGTCACTTCTCTCTGGTTCTAGTCTCCTCCTACTTCACAGAAGATGCGTGCTCCCACCTTATTGAGTTGCTGCAGAGGTGGAAAAGGTTCATCAGATGCACCACTGCCAGCATGAAGCGGTGCCCAAGGCCGGGGAGGCCAGACGGTAGCTTGCGTCTGGTTTGATACAGTTCTGACATTCTGCTGCAGGAAGCTCCAAGATTCTGGAATGATGGCACAAGATGCTGAGATTAATAGCCCTTCCTGCCTTCCAGCCCACGCAGAGATCACTAAAAGCCTCATTGCTTTCTGGAACTCTCCACCCTCTGCCAGCCCCAGACTTAGCCCCAAGTTTAGCCTGCTCAGAGAATTCCCAGATATCCCACCTCCAAGTCCCATGAGCCCCACCTCCTTACCTGCCTACGGGGCAAGACCTCCCTTTGTAGTCACCAGGCTGCATAACATTCGTCAGCCAGGTACGCCAGCTGGGGTGCCACACGGTGCCCACTTCTCCAGTGTTTGTGGGGCTTGGACCTTCCTAGGTCCTCGGGGGCCACGTCAGCCCACGTCTCCTCTCCCATCTGGTCCTCGGTCCTGACTTGCCACTCGCACCTGGTACGTCACCCCCCATCTCCAGGATATGTGGAGGGTGCCGGACACAGGATAGGGGTTCTTCAAATGACAGCCAGTTGGGGGTGGCAGAAGACACTTCCCAAGATGACAGAAATGTGAGATAGCAGGGGACATAAGAAGCCAGAGGAAAATAAGGAGAGGAGGGGGAGGGTCGGAGGTGGAGAGAGAGAGAGAGAGGGGAGAGGGAGAGGAGACAGTGTGTGGGCGGAAAGGCAGAATGAGGGGGAGTAAGGAGAGATGCCTGGCAAGGAGCAGGGACAGAGGAGTGAAGAGGAGAGGAGAGAATAGATGGGCAGAGGAGCAGGGAGAGATGCAGAAAAAGGCAGGGACAGAGGGAGGCAGGAGGAAGGAGAAAGAGGGGGTGGTAGGGACAGTGACAGAGAAGGATTGTGCCACAGATGGTGACATGGAGAGCCAGCAGAAGGGGGAGCAGGAGGGTGCGGGAGGGGCCGGGAGGAGGAGCTGAGCACCGGACAGCAGGTGCCAGACTGAGGGGCAGCAGGTTAGGGGCGGAGGCCAGACCGGGAGAGGGAGAAGCAGATCCCGTTACCGAGGAGATTTCAGCCACCCACGCTGGCCTTGGCTCCTGCGGGGACTTGGAAAAAAGAGGGGAGCAGTAGAGAGAGGAGCTGCGTGCCAGAGGCGGGACAGCCCCAGCTCCCTAGGATGTACTTCCCTGTGAGGGAGGGGCTACTCAGCGGAATGAGGAGGACGGGACAGGGTGGGCTCCGAGATGTGGGCTCCGAGCCCACATATCCCTTGTGGAGGATTCCAGGAGCAGCAGGGTGGGTCCAGGAGCAGCGGGACGGGTCCAGAAGACGGCAGATAGAGACTGTGGTGCTGGGGTCAGTTGGATCTGGACAGAGGAGCAGAGAGATGGGATAGAAAGTAGGAACTTTAGGCTTTGAGAGCCGAAAGTCAAAGGTATACAGTGAGGAAACAAATTCTCACTCTCAAGCGATACAATTTGAATAATAACAGCTGCCCTTGAAGACAATTGTTCCTAACACATCTGCTGATGTGCTCCCTGGGAAGGGGAATAGTTTGCTTCATTGGTGCGTGAAGGTGGTGGTCCCTGCATCAGATCGCTCACAGGTGCCTACCTATGTAAGCCACTCTTTCTTGGCTGGTAAGCTGCACAGACTAAGTAGTAGTAAACTGTGGCTGGTCATCTGTGGCCACGACTGGCCTAAAGCAGACTTGAGCTCTGAGCAGCCCTGAGTGTCCAAGGTGGGGGCTTCTTGGTGCTGTATTTTTCTGCTCACAGCCCTCCATGACTCTTCCCCGTCACCTGCTGCCCACTGCTCCTGTTGCCTCCTACCCACAGCTTCCCTTTGGCTCCCCAGGCTCTGAGCTCATCCATCCATCCATCCATCCATTCACTTACTTGTCCATTCATCTCCAGATATGGTTGCCTCCAGCCTTGTTCCAAGCTCTAGGGATAAAAGGAATAAAGTTTACCCTGGGTAGACAATCCACACCGTATCACTAAAGCCAGAGTCCAACCTTAACTGGGACAAAAAGGAATTGGGTACAGAGGTGGGGCTGAGAATCATGAGGCTGGGTGAGGAACTGGCTTCTCACCAAGCAAGGATCTAGGTAAGGGCAGTCTCAACTAACCCTTGGGCGACTTATGGCCATCTTGGGATCTGGTCTTCTCCATCTGGGTAAGCAGGAAGCTTCTGAGAATGGAACAGACGTCTATGTCTTGATTTAGGTTTCCATGGTTTTTTGCTGTTGCACGAGTCACATCCAGGGCAAGAACAGGAGCAGGAGGCCAGGAAGGAGCCTCAGAGTCTTCACACAAGCTTTACCTGCAGCTGGAATACTGATTTTACACCACCCCCTTGTTGGGGGCAAACGGTCATCTGGTTGGCCCCAGGACAGGGAGTCTCACCCTCAGATGTCCAAAGTTTGCCCTCACAGCTGTGATTTACTTCCTAGTGATTCATCTGAAGAAGGACATGAATATTTTTTGTATTGGACTGTCAGTTCCCCAAGATCAAGCTCTTGACATGGTCCCCAAGTTGGCCCTGGGCTGACACCAGCCTAGCACACAGTAGGCACTCATCCTGTTACAAATGAAAAAGGATGGAGGATGGATGGATGGATGGATGGACGGTCAGACAGGTAGGATGGACAGACAGATGAATGGATGGTTGGACAAATGGATAGATGGATGAATGGGTGGATGAATAAATGAATGGATGGATGATGGACAGATTGATGGATGGATAGATGATCAATGGACAGATGGATGGGTGGGTGCATGGGTAGATGGATAAATGAATGGATGGATGAGTGGATGGATGGACAGATTGATGGATGGACAGATGGATGGATAAATGGATGGATGGATAGATAGATAGGTGTGTGGATGGGTGGCAGATGACTGAACTCATGGAGTTCATGGGTGAGTGGGTGGATGGATGAATAGAAAGTAAACAGTAGCAAAGAAACAAGAAGGGACACCTGGTTCCTGAGAGTACACTGGAAGTTAGAGAGAGAGAGAGAAGAAGAGGGGGGGGAGGAAGGTGTACTATGCAGCAGATTGGGACCAACCTTTCTCTAGGAGGCTTCTGCCAGCAAAAGTGACCCAGGGCTTCTGTTGAGCCCTTTCTCTGGTGAACCACAGCAGAGAGGGGAAAATGTAGGTCCATGCCTAGAGTTCTGGGAGCAAGGGACACTGGGGAATTCAGAGGGACCCCACAGGGATGGCCCTGCCCTGGGAATCTGAGGTTCTAGAAGCCTATGGGTCAAAGTCCCAAATCCCTGACCTCAGGCTGGACCTGGCCCCCAGGGCTGTCAGATCTGCTGGGGTCCTGCAGAGGCTACTTGGCTGGACTTTCCCATGTGATCTTGGCCTTGACAAACCCATGATGGTGTCTCCACCCTCAGTCTAGAGGGCTCGCACAGCCAACAATCATGGGCTCAATCAGGAGCCCAGATCCAAATGGAAGTCAGGAGCGTCACCATGGGGCCAGGGAGGAACCTAGCTACTAAAACAAGCCTGTCTTCTAAAACATGAGATGACCTTCTGGCCAACTCTGGAGCTTTCTCACTAATGTCCCCATTAAGGATGTCTTTGGGCTTGTCACCCCCTGCTGGTTCCTCCTGGAGCTGAGTCTCAGGTCTGCTTTGTACTGACTGTGTGACTTTAAATATGTATCTGACCCTCTCTGAGCCTCATTCTGAGCTCCTACTTCATAGGGTTATGCAGATAACAGAATGAGCCATCCCACCACCCCACAACCTCCAACACACACTGTAGCAATTCCTGTGACCCAGTGACTCCTAACTTCTAAGCTCCTGCTTGTGAGGGAACCGAGGACCATGACATTGGACATTGGACAGAGGGACTCTGTCCTAGTTCTGTCCCCAGCCACATGACTGTAAAACCCCCTCTTGGAACTTCGGTGTTCTCCTTCAGCAGAGGCCACCACCTGGCTGCAGGACACCTGACCACGGTTGACAGGAGACAGAGAAGAGGCTTGTGGGATGTGTGCCCCCTCCCCTCACCCGGCTGACTCTCCAGAGGCCTCAGCAGCCTTCACAGGATTCTAAGAATATACCCCCTTTCAGCTTTATCACAGACTTTCTCCTTTTAACAAAAGACACTTGAAAATCAAGAAGGACACCGTGACCTTCCCGTCTCCCTTTGAAAGCAGGGGCTGAAGGCCATGAGAGGAGGCTCCCAGAACCAGGAGGATCCTAACCCGCCTGCTTACCAGGCAGGGCTGGGGAGGGTCAGGTCTGTAGAGCACACATTCTGTTTCACTCTCTTCTTCCCACAGACAGCTGCTGTGCCCTCTACCCAGCCCATGAGGAGGTGAGCATCCCCCAACCCCCAGGGGGAAAATGATCAGGGAACTCTCCTGTACTGTCCGTTAATCTGCCCTGTGTCCATTTTATTCTTAGCCCGGCCAAAGACCCTTAGACAGCACCGTTAGATCAGCCTGCTCAGGAGGCACAGGGACTCTATTAAAATGCTGAGTCACAGCCTGACTGCTTGAGGCTCTCCCATGGCCACCTGTCACAGTGCTTAGTGTCGGCCTCCCCCCCACTGACATATCATTCCACTTTACCCCTCCTCTTGTTCTAGTGCGCCCTCCCCGAAGCCTGAATCCTTTGCCCAGGCTTCCCCAACTTCTCTCCTTCTCTTCCCTTCCGGCAAGCTTAGACGTCACCTGCCAGTCTGAGGCAGGCTTCCTCCCCTGGGCCTCCCTGTTTTGTTTGTAATGCAATTATTTTTCATTTCTGATTTGCTCTTGTGTTCTTCAAGCACTATCTGCAAACATGTTTCTGAATCCTGTTGTGCTAAAAAGGTTTTAAACGAAGAAGACGCAGCCGTCCTCCGATGGCCCTCTCCTAGTTTGTCTCAGAGGCAGTGCTGACCTTTAGTTATGTGTGTGTGCACACACATCTTCTGAAGCATCCTTCTGCCTTCTCTCCACCCTTCCCCACACACACACACAAACGGTGTTTTTTGAGCTAGATGCTCACTATGGAGCCCAGGTTGACTTTGCACTCTTGATCCTCCTGCCTCAATCTTCCAAGTTTTGAGCTCCTAACTGTGGGCCATCCCACGAAACAGGCATTTTTAAAAATTTACTTAAAATACTACAACAACAACAACAAAACACCTTTGTATTGATTCTCTGTGAGTTTCACATCATGCACCCCAGTCCTGGTCATCTCCCCACCACCTCATACCCACCCTTTGCTCTTGCAAACTCCTCCCCAAGTAAAACACACACACACACACACACACACACACAAATCAAAGCATTAAAAATCCCATTCTGGAAGCTGCAGTGTGTCACAGTGTGTCCTACAGTACATCCCTCTGTCCACCCACGCACCTTCACTTGTGAATGTTCATTGCAATGAGTCAATGGTCTGGTTCAAGGTCTCTGGCTTCTATGACAACGTCAATATTGGATCTTCACCCGACTCCTCCCAGTTTTCCTGTTGTTGCCGTGTGTCATGGAGATCCTGCAGCTCTGGATCAGCAGGACTGGCCTTTCACATGCATCAACAGTTCACAGATGCTGTATGTTTTAGGGTGGGCCACATCAAAGCTCTGGATCTTGGCCTGGGTGGTAGCTGAGCTGATCCTCCCACCTGCTCTCCCTTATCCACACCACCAGGGGGAGCTCTCTAGCACTGCTCTGGCTAGGCCACCTAATATGGCCGTCAGTAGGAGGTAGGTCAGTTCTTCTGCTCTAATGTCCTCTGCCCGGCTCACCTGCACCCATGCCTCCAGAGCCAGCTTCTCTGTGCTACCCAGAGGAGCTGAGGGGTTGAGGGAGCACTCTCCCAAGTGCTGCAGCCTGAGAGGGACTGGGCCAGCTCTCCTGCTCTCATGTCCTGAGGCCAGCTTTGCTGACTGCAGGAGGTGGTAAGGAGAGTTCAGGGGAAGGCATCACCTCTGCACCCAGGCTACATTCCAGCAGATGAGCGGAGGGGTCAGCTCTCTTCCACACTCATGCCCTCAGGTCTAGCTCACCTTCATCTAAAAGTGTAAAACATTTACTGTATGTGTATGAGGTTTTGCCTGAATATATGTCTGTGTACCACATGCATGACAAAGGAGGCCAGAAGAGGGGACCAGATGGTTGTTATGAACACTGTGTGTGTGTGTGTGTGTGTGTGTGTGTGTGTGTGTGTGTGTGTGTGTTGAGAACCAAAACCCAGTCCTCTGGAAGAGCAGCCAGCTCTTACCAGCTGAGGTATCTCTCCAGCCCCCTCTGCAGCAGAGATCTTGATTTCTTACTCTCTCCTGCCATTCTTCATTCTTTCACTTGCTTACTTAAAATACAAAACCATTCCTTTTCTGGGACGAAGCATTTCCACATGACCCCACAGTGCCTCAAAAGCCATACAGTAAAAAACCCCAGAGTCCAGCTACAATGAAAGATTTTTTAGAGACCACCAAGACACTTTCCCCAGGGCAGGCTGCCCCTTGGGCCAACACTCTGGAACAGTATCTTCATCAGAGGGTGGGTTGCTTCAGCTTTTCCCAGATCTTGTGTGTATTCTTCAGTTCCTGCCCTCCTCTCTTGTGATTTGCTTTCTCGATTAGGAGGCATGTAGCCTCTGGAAGGTGTGTTTGTGTGTGTGTGTGTGTGTGTGTGTGTGTGTGTGTGTGTGTGCCTGGAAACAATTAATGGCCAGGATGGGTGTGGTCAGGGTGGGTGTGGCCAGGGTGGGTGTAGTGTTTGCAGCTGAGTCATTTTGGATTGGCTCATGAATGCCATCTTTCTTTGGTCTTAGACTTCCTGCACTGTGCCCACCCCCAGCCCAGAGCACATATGTATTATGTGTGGCCTCTTCCCCTTTCTTTCTTCTTGTCTCTGTCGTGAGGCAAACAACTTTCCTCCACTATGCCCTTCTCTCCATGGCCATAGGTCTAAAAGCAATGAAATCAGCTGATTATGGATTGAAACCTCTGGAACCACAAGCCAAGATACACAGTTCTGATCCTAGGCTATTTACTTCAGATATTTCATTGCTACCACCATGCCCCCCCAAAAAAAACACACAATCACACAGAAAAGTTGGTGTTGAGAAGTGAGATAATGTCTATGATAATTCTTGACCATGTGGTCCAGAAGGCTTCAGAACTCCCTATGGGCCAAGCATCCAAACACATGAGTCTATGGGGGTCATTCCTATTGAAAC